ACTAATAGCTTGGTGAGGTGTCCCTAACAGACCTTACCCTGTTTATGGAGAGCTCCCACTGCCTGCAGCATGTCCTCCCAGTAGAACTTGACAGTATTTGGTGACAGGTGGCCTTCCTCCTTCAGTCGGTTTTTTATGAAGTTGGCAAAGTCCACTGTTCCATGCTCCATTACAATATATAACTTGCTATTTTCCTCGTCATATTCACTGGTAAATCAAATCATTATAGTGTATTCATTGTATTTACTAATAAAGTAAACTTTTTAATATTCATCTTTCAACAACAAAGCATCAAGAACATTTTATTATACAATTTCTTAAAAGTCCTCTACTTATTAATTGTATATCTTGTTGAATTTGATCATCAGCCAGTAGAGCTGCTGACAGATCATAGTTCTTAATAACCTCTATTCACTTATACATTATATAATGATGACCATGCTCAGAGACCATTACAGCTACCAACACAGGATAGAATAAATTTTACTTACTAATCATACATTTTGATGACCTTGGAACAGTACTGAAGACGTTCTAGTAGGTGTATTTCATTCCTGTAACCCTCAAGAATCTGCTCATTAGCATCTGACAGGTCGACCACCTTAATGGCACGGTTCTCTAGGTTACAATCCAGGACCTTGTATACCTGTGGTATCCAAGGTAACATTGATGTAAGGTATTCAAGGTATTATTGATGAAAAGTTACCAAGGTAACATTGATGTAAGGTAACAAAGGTAACATTGATGTGAGATAACCAAGGTAACATTGATGAAAGGTAACCAAGGTAACATTGATGTAAGGTAACCAAGGTAACATTGATGTAAGGTATTCAAGGTATTATTGATGAAAAGTTACCAAGGTAACATTGATGTAAGGTAACAAAGGTAACATTGATGTGAGGTAACCAAGGTAACACTGATGTAAGGTAACCTAGGTATCTTTGATATACGGTAGCCAAGGTTACATTGATGTAAGGCTACAAAGGTAACATTGATGTGAGGTAACCAAGGAAACATTGATCTGAGGTAACCAAGGTATCATTGATGTGAGGTAACGAAGGTATCATTGAAGTAAGGTAACCAAGGTAACATTGATGTGAGGTAACCAAGGTAACATTGATGTGAGGTAACCAAGGTAACATTGATGAAAAGGTAACCAAGGTAACATTGATGTGAGGTAACCAAGGTAACATTGATGTGAGGTAACCAAGGCACCATTGATGTAAGGTTACCAAGCTATCTTTGATTAAGGTAACCAAGGTAATATTGATGTAAGTCTACAAAGGTAACATTGATGTAAGGTAACCAAGGTAACATTGATGTAAGGTAACCAAGTTTACATTGATGTAAGTCTACAAAGGTAACATTGATGTGATGCAACCAAGGTAACATTGATGTAAGGTAACCAAGTTTACATTGATGTAAGTCTACAAAGGTAACATTGATGTGATACAACCAAGGAAACATTGATGTGAGGTAACCAAGGTAACCTTGATGTGATGCAACCAAGGTAACATTGATGTGAGGTAACCAAGGTAGCATTGATATAAGGTAACCAAGTTTACATTGATGTAAGTCTACAAAGGTAACATTGATGTGAGGTAACAAAGGTAACATTGATGTAAGTCGACAAAGGTAACATTGATGTGATGCAACCAAGGTAACATTGATGTAAGTCTACAAAGGTAACATTGATGTGATGCAAGCAAGGTAACATTGATGTAAGTCTACAAAGGTAACATTGATGTGATGCAACCAAGGTAACATTGATGTGAGGTAACCAAGGTAACATTGATGTGATGCAACCAAGGTAACATTGATGTGAGGTAACCAA